AGTTTGTGTGTGTAGTTGTTTGTTCCCATGAAGAACTTTCATGTGTGTTGTTATGGAACTCTCATGCATTGCCGATACCGGGACTCTTATTGACTCAAACGGAACGCAAAGCTCATGCAGTTTTGGTTGTTTAGACGTATCTAAAAAAGGGAGATGACAGGATACCCCGTGGAATTTTCGCTCGTGTCATCGGCCCCATATCGGCATGGAGAACATCAGTTTGTAGCCTCGTTCATATCGCAAAGGCCTACCAGCGACATGAAGCTCAGGGAGAAACAGCTCTTCCACGACTTGGTGAGCTTGCGCGGTGAATTTAGTGTTGCTTTACTAACTAATCCCCGTCAAACATGGCGCTGCTGTAAAAGGAAGGCTCGACAGCGAGATGCTTTACGAACACTGACCTATGTAACGTTTTAACCGTGGTTTTGTGAGGTACCTGCCTGCTCCACGGCCCTTCTCTCTCCCCCGTACCTCTCCCCGTTGGGCGCGCCTCTGTGTACTCCTCAGCAACGGTGCACGGAAAGCCGACGATTGGTAAGGCGGGGCCCACCTGGGTAGCCACGGCGAAGATCGGCTGCGGCGGAGCGGACGCGGACGGTATTCATAGCCGTCAGCAGACATGCGCATGTGTTAACTCACGCGCTGAGGCTCATAGCTTTAGACTGCGTACAAGGAATTTGGAGGCATCTGGGACTTATCTCAACCGCAAAAACAGTTTATGTCGCAACGTCCTTTAGCGGCATCTGCGCCGATGAAATGCCAGACTTAACCCAGACGTCGTGTTCATCGGCAATCAAAGTCAACGGCTTGCCAATGCAGGTTATAAACAGCATGACACCTTACCAGGCGCCACCGGGCCGCGGTGTAAATACTGGTCCCAGCTGGCGCATGACCCATGTGACCCGTCACTGTGGTCCGGCCAAGCTACTGGGTGACCCCGTCACTGGAGGTCAGTTAGGCTGCTGGATGTCCCAGCACCTGGAATAGGCTGTCACCAGGAAAAACACGACATGAATCTTTGCTCATATCTCCTGATAGCTGATTAGGTGAAGCTTCTGATGCTCCTGGTTGCTCCTCCATAGCTCCTGATGATTGATTAGATGAATCGGCCCGATATATCACGTTGTTGCCGTAAAAACAACATCCTGAATTAAACGCAAGGCTCTCCTCCCGCGGTCTCGGGAGATCTTGAGCCCAGGACTCACCTCCGGCCGGGTAAAGTCCGATGGTAACATCATACTTACGTTTATTCACGATAAGGTATAACTAATAAACTGATGATATTGTCGTCAAATGGTGATGAACGAGTATGATGCGCTTCAGGCGCCAGCAACGAGGTCAACGTGATCACGATGGTTTGACTACGGGATCAGTGGGCATGGACTCACCACGGGATGGGCTCGATTCAAGAGCAAGGACGCAGATGAGAACACTGATCGACGAAAGACCCAGAAAGCATGGACGTGAAATCCCTATCGTGATGTTTAATGCGTACTAGAAGATGAACCTCAAATCAAACTGAATGAATTGTGATAAATCAGCTTTAATCAGTTAATAATAAGAATCAATTAGTTTTGTGAAATATATATATATATATATATATATATATATATGTATATATGTCAATATACATAATTTGTATAAACATTACTGATTTTGTTGATCGAATTGCGACCTAAAATTGATTAACTCATTTGATTAATCAACATTAATTAAAGATAATTAAGCTGAGGTAATTCTAAGCCGGGTGTGGTGCTCGGAGCTGGCGGCGGCGTGCGATCACGTGACGTCGGCCACATGTTGCTTCCCTAAGCGTCACACCCGTAGCCCTCGAGCCCGCCGACAATGCGCGGAAACCTGGACCGGGCTGCGGCTATGACGTCATCATTTTCACCGCGCTCCCATTGTTCCCGGTTCCGCTGCGGAGGGTGACAAGCGCCGGGCGATGATCGGTGATATAAAACACGGGGACGGTGAAGCCCTTGTGTGCCGTGACAGTGCACGAGCTGGGACGACGGGGTTGTCCGTCCCTTCACGAGGCGTTACAGCGCAGATATGGATGACCGGGCGGTGTTGCCTGGTTGCTCACCGCAGCCTGCGGGATGATTGTCTGGCTTCGATTTGCGTCATCCAGTTTCAGGGCGCCAGTCCAAACCACAAACCTTGCCCTGCTGCTTACTGTAGCGGCGGGGTCCCTGCGGGCTTAAAAGGAGACCGGTCTGTAAGCCGTTTCTTTCCATGCAACGCGGTAAGGTGCATATGATTTGTGTCCGACGTTGGCTGGAGGGGTGGCTGCCGCGTCTGCTCCTTCCCCTCTTTACCGAATCTGCCGCCACGCTACATGGCTGAGCTGCGGCCCGCGGCTAACAAAAACGTCGAACCAAATTTTGAGGACATCTCTAACGCTCCTAAGCCCCTCTAAACGCTCCTAAGTCTTAGAGTTGCGACCACATGTGCCACACCGCTGAAGAAGGACGCGAAGGCCGCGCTGCTGGCGAGCCTCAGCCAGGCCACGCGGTCGCGCCGACTGGCGCCGAACTGGGAGTCGTGTGAACACCGCCGTGGCGCGCGACCGCGGCTGCGAACTGGGCCCCGTCCCGGCCAGCCGGCGACGCGACACCGATACAGGGTCCGCCGATGGCCGGCTGTCACGCGGGAAGAGGGAAAGAGAAGGAGAGAGAGAGAGGGCGGGAGGAAGGAGAGAGAGGGGAGGAGGAAGAGGGAGAGAGAGGGAAAGAAAAGCAGAGAGAGTGGGAGTGAGGAGAGGAGGAGTGGAGTGAGGAGAGCAGGAAGAAGGACAGAGAGCGCGGGAGGGAGAGCGAGGGAGAGAGAGAGGAGGAGGGAGAGAGAGGGAGGAGGAAGAGGGAGAGAGAGGGAGAGAAAAGTAGAGAGAGAGAGGGGAGAGAGGAGGAAGAGGGATAGAGAGCGGGGAAGGGAGAAAGAAGGAGAGTTGACTCTGCTGCCTTCTGTACACACACCGCGTCCATACATTCCCGACCCACATCACCTAACCGCACCCCGTAAGTCGAATGGCTGGACTCGCTCCTGCCACCGCGCCCAAAGACCGCACCGCAGACGACCCGTGCGAGCCGAGCTGTTCTGGCCAGCGGGTAGCGACGCGGGCAGAGGCGTACTCAGGTGCATCGAGTGCGGCGGTACGGAGTGGGCTCCGCCTTGGGGTCAACCAAGGACCACCAATTCCACGAATGCAGGTGCGTCACCCGACCAGGGGTGATACCAGATTGTTAGCAGGCTAAAAAAACTTCGGGCTAGTCGACAGGCAACCATAAATACCATAACCAAATTGAAAACTTAACATGACTACCGAAAATATGCCGGAACATTCGACCCGAGCGAGGCGGGGTCGTTTCGTGCCCTCTGGTGCCGCACCGGAGTGCGCCGCTGCGTCCGGCGGCGGGCTCGGTCACAGTGACAAGTTGTTGCCGTTCCACCGGTCATCAGCTGACGCGCCACTGCTCGTGCCGCGGCCCGGCGCCGCGCCACCGCTCGTCGCGAACGTTACATGCGCCGGCGGCGTCTGAGACGACACCGCCGAGTTTTGGGAAGGCAAGCTCGCTGGGCTCAGCGCGTGCTCTACTCAGAGGCGCGGGATGGGACAGGAGATCACGCGTTTATGACTTTCATTTATGTTTAGCTATCATGCTCGTGTTTATTATTTTGGGTGCCATGTTTGCGACCTCCCAGCATTAAGCGAAGCCTTCATCTGTCGCTCATGTTTATCGTTCATGATCTATCACTGCCGGCGCGTTCATGATCTATCATGAACGATATATAACGATACAGCCATATATATATATATATATATATATATATATATATATATGACTTTCTGAGCGGAGAGAGTGTCGGGAATGCACATTTGTCCCGATGCGAAGAATGGACCGCGAGCTGCGGTGCTTCTCTTAGAGACTACGGTGTAGGAGAAAGACTAGCCAATGGAGAACACACCCCGACACGTGAACCGATGGAGGCGTGGGTCCGAATCTCACTGCCGGCGCGTTGCTCTGGTTCGTGCCCCAGTGGCGTTATAGTCACTCATAGAATAGCTCTTAGCTCATAGTCCCTATAATAGTATGAGCTGTTGCGATGATAATAGCTCGTGTATAGCCGATGTATAGCCCATATCAATAACTTATGCAATAGGTGATCATCATCACTTGCATGCACTGCCAGACACACCTCAATTGCACCACCAGACGCCTCCGCGGCGTGTGGGCCGTCGTGTTCGCCACCGGTGCATAATGGCTAGTGAGCAACGATCCAAGCTTCTGGGCCTTC